CCCTAGATTTTTTTCCTTTGGCGATCCTTATTATGTTCTCTTAAATCAAATTAAGACTTTGTATGATAATGAGGGTGGATAATTTCTTATCTTTAGGTACGTCTCATATTTAGTATAACTTCGGAAACTACAGGTAGGACACAAGTGATAAACAGCTGATCAAAAAGTAATAAAAGAATATTTTTGAGCCAATTTAAAAATCTGTGCTTCCCTAATGCCCCGAAGTAATATATTTACAAATTGGTGTTCCTGTACAATAACTGCTTATTCAGTTATTTAAATGAGTGAATATATATGAAGTATTTGGGTGAGTGCCCAGCACATGGTAGATTGTCTTACGTAAGAGCTGGCTGTTTATTGTCAAGGCTGCCCCTTCACTTTGGCTCACTTATGCTAAATTGCCACCAGGGGGCAGACTATGTTTGGGAAAGAATTGAAACCTAGTTTGAGCTGTTCTTAGTCTTTAATATACCTTACTTGTGAGCATGTACTTTGCTGTAAAAAAAACCAAGAACTATTTCTTCCGACTTTTTAAAATATATATTTTCATTTATATACCTTACTTGTGAGCATGTACTTTGCTGTAAAAAGAAAAACCAAAAACTATTTCTTCTGACTTTTAAAAAAATATATTTTTATTGATTTCAGAGAGGAAGGGAGAGAAAGAGATAGAAACATCAATGATGAAAGAGAATCATTGATTGGCTGCCTCCTGCAGGCCCCCTACTAGGGATCAAACCCATAACCCAGGCATGTGCCCTTGACTGGAATCGAACCTCAGACCCTTCAGTCCACAGCCCAACGCTCTATCCACTGAGCCAAACCAGCTAGGGCCCTTTTGGCTTTTAACTTTTTCTTTTCATTGGTGCTGCTTCTCTTTTTAGTTATTGTAACACTAGAGCCCAGTGCATGAAATTCGTGCACTGAGGGAGGGGAGTCCCTCAGCCTGGCCTGCGCCCTCTCACAGTCCAGGAGCCCTGAGATTGATCACCCCAAAGAGGTAGGCCCTGCCCACCTGGCCAGGGCTCCATGATGGATCGCCCCTGCAGAGGGAGGTCCCGCCCACTCACGGCAGCCTGCCGGCCGGTGGCCTAGACCTCCCTCTGCGGGGCAATCATGGGGCTATGGCCAGGCCCCTGACCAATCCCATCACACCTGCCTTGGCTGGCCTGGCGCCAATGGGTGTCATAGTGTGGTCGTCTGGTCGTTCTGCTGTTTGGCCGTGTTTGGCCGTTCAGTTGATTTGCATATTATGCTTTTATTATTATAGATTATTTACTATACTCACAATGTTGTACTATACATGCCCATGACTGTTCTCTAACTACCATTTTGTACTTCTTAACCCCTTCACATTCTCCATACATCCTCCCAGTCTCCCTCCCATCTGGCAACTGTCAAAATGGTCTCCGTATCTGTGAGTCTGTTTGTGCGCTGCTTGTTCATTTGTTCTTTAGATTCTGCAGGTAACTGAAATCTTTTGGCATTTGTCATTCTCTGTCGACTTATTTTACTCTGCACAGTACCCTCTAGGTCCATCCATGTTGCTGCAGGTGGTAAGATTTTATTCTTTTTTATGGCTGAGTCATATTCCATTGTATGTATGCACCACTTCTTCTTTATCCATTCATCTACTGACGGAAACTTGGGTCATTTCCATATGTTGGCTATTGTAGATAATCTGCAATAAACATATGGATACATGTCTTTTCAATTGAGTGTTTTAGGTTTCTTCAGAAAAATACGCAGAAGTGGAATTGCTGGGTCCTTCTTTGTCTCTTATTATAGCCTTTGCCTTAAAGTCTGTTTTGTCTGGTATAAGTATTGCTACCCCAGCTTTTTGTTGTTGTTTGTTTCCATTTTTATGAAATATCCTTTTCCATCTCTTTACTTTCAGTCTGTGTTTGTGTCTCTTGATCTGAAGTGAATCATCTTGACCAGAAGCCCTCTTCTCTTTATTCTTGCAATTCTTTGCTCTGATGTTAAAAAAGGGTTATTGGCAACATTTTCTTTCAGAGAGAGAGAGAGAGAGAGAGAGAGAGAGAGAGAGAGAGAGAGAGAAAAGGGAAGAGAGAGCGCGCAGGGAAGAGAGAGAAAGAGGCGGGGTGGGGGATTGTTTTTCCATGTATTTATGCATTCATTGGTTGATTCTTATCTGTGCCCTGACTGGAGAACCCTCAACTTTGGTGTATGGGGATGATGCTATAACCAACAGAGCTACACGGCCAGGTCCAGCAACGTCCATCTCCACTGGGATATGCCATCAACATGATAGGATGAACTTGATCAGCAACGATACTTAGGTATGTTGTGCTATTCAGACGTATTCCACACGAATTAAAGGGCCCAAATCATGCCAGGAAAAGATGTCCCAAACCATAACACTGCCCCCCACCAGCTTGAAGGGTTGTACTCATGCATGTGGGGTGCATGCTTTCATGCTGTTTCCGCCAAATTCTCACTCTGCCATCTGCATGATGCAACTGGAAACGTGATTCATCGGACCACATGACTTCTTTCCAATGCTCGACTGTCTAGTCCTTGTGTTCCTGTGCAAATTGGAGACATTTTATCTTGGTAACTGCAGACAGCAAAGGTGTTTGAGCAGGCCTTCAGCTTCCATATCCCATACGATGCAGTGTACAGCTAATTTGCCTACAAACGTCAGGTGGTCATAATAATCTGGCCACTCAGATTTATATATATCCCACGTTCAAAGGCTGTTAAATCGCATTGTTTACTCATATCTTCAGGGAAAAAAATCACTTCTACTGTCGTGGTAAACAACCTGCTTCCCTATTTATAATGGTCCGGCCCTCTAGCAACTTCAGCACAAAATTATAGCTAATTTGCCTACAAACGTCAGGTGGTCATAATAATCTGGCCACTCGGTGTATGTGGTAGCTTAGTGTGGTACAAGTAAAAGCTTTAATGAGTAGGATGGATAGCTGGCATGTTGCTAATTTTTTTTATTTGAGTGGTCTACCCAAAATACCACATGCGGCCGCGCATGTACAGTGCGATTGAAACTTCGTGGCCCATGCGCAGAAGTCGGTATTTTGTGGAAGAGCCACACTGAAGGGGCCAAAGAGCCGCATGTGGCTCGTGAGCCGCAGTTTGCCGACCACTGGTAAAGGATTTCTTTTCTAACCAGGGCATTTTGGAGTTTACTATTTCTTAACAACCCCACCCTTCCAAAAACAACAACAATAACCAAAAAAACCAAATTCCATATGGAGTGGTGTCATGGCTATTTTTAATAATGTTAAAATTTAACCTTATTCTTTACAATTTTAATGTTGATTGGCATCTTGGTTTTTACACGTTTTTGGGGGGGGTTGGAGGAGAGGTGGTTATAGCATACTATTAATATTGAGAAACTGAATAAAAGGTGGGTTTTATAAAATAACAATAAACTGGGATAAATTGTAAATCAACACTTAAATGTAGCTGTTTTGACTTTATGTCCATGGTTATTTGTGTTTCAGTTGCCATGGGTGCAATGTGTTTCCCAGGTCCATTGTCTGTGTGTGAACAAGTTGTATCTTTCCCACAGTGAACTCTGGACAAGGGATTGGTGTATCTCTAAACTGACAGGCTGAGTGAAGAGAGAGAAGAAATTATTCAGAATTTCCTTTCCTGCCTATCAGCTTCCCCCGTCACACCCTAAATGCTCCATACAATTCCTGAAAGAGTGCTTCCTGCGCATTAAATAGGGATTCATAGGATTATTCATAGTTAACAATCTCTACATTTATTCTGATACCAAGTTTTTTTTTTTGTTTTTTTTTTTTAGGAAATCTTTGGAACAAGCATAGATCATTTTTTTATACATTGTTTTCTTTTAGATTAAAAAAAAGAGTTAGGATTTGGGGCTGTTCCAGGTTTAATATTTGCTTTACTTAAGTAGCATATTGCCGCTGCAATTTTCTTATACCCATACCTTTACCTTTTGACTTCCTTGTTGTTGTTGTTTTTTGCCATCATATTTTTTTTCTTTTTTTTTTTAGCAGTTAAGTTACCACCACGCCATCATATTTTAATTTGCTTTCATAAACCACTATACTACAAAAAAATTGAATAAATCCTGGTAAAAAATACACATAACTGCCCTAGCCAGTTTGGCTCAGTGGATAGAGCGTTGGCCTGCGAACTGAAAAGTCCCGGGTTTGATTCCGGTCAAGGGCACATGCCCGGGTTGTGGGCTTGATCCCCAGTGGGGGACTTGCAGGAGGCAGCCGATCCATGATTCTCTCTCATCATGGATGTTTCTATCTCTCTCTCCCTCTTCCTTCCTCTCTGAAATCAATAAAAATATATTTTAAAAAAATACACATAACCACGCCCCTCCCGCGTTTCTAGCCTCAGCACCTTACTGTGAGAGGTACCTGGTTTTCTATACTTGGGATGAGTCGAGCAGTAAGTGCAGCCCTTAGAATACTGCCTGTGTGAATAACTAATTTTTTATTTTTCTGGAACTATTACACCTGCTAGAGAAATTGCATGAACCTTTTATTGTTGGTTATGAGTGAGGTCCTCAGAATGTGAGTGTGAAAGTTGACACTTGAACCTCTTATCAACCAGCCATTGCTATAATAGACATTTTATTAAAAATTATAGTAGGGAACATTTATTGCTTAGAGCCATTTTTTAAAAATTTTATCCAGGGTGTCAGGTTTATACGTAGGTTTGCATAGAAACAATCTGCAAACATCCCCAGTGTTATCAGTGTGAATGTAATAAAAAATGTTTAAACCAGGATGCAGATTACTTTAATGAAATCTTAATTTTTCCCCCTAATTACTAAATAAGCAGGCGGCACTGTAAGTAGTTAATTTCCCTGAACAATCGTCCAAGTGGTTCCAGACTCTGCGGCGTTATTGGCTGTTCTGTAAAGCTCCTGAGACCACCCACTTCCTCCCCCCTTTGCCATCTCTGATGAGAACCATAACAACCCCACAGGCATGTGCAGTGTGATGTAACTCACAGGCTGCTTCGCTCGGGGGCTGCCAAGAGGAGATTTTATTCCGAGGACGAGCATTGTTTTGGCAACATCTGGGAGAGCAAAGGGAAGCCGGAAACAGTGGGACCACTCTGGGGTTTTTTCTGTGTGTGTGTGTGTGTGTGTGTGTGTGTGCTGGAATGACATTTGCTATGTAGGCATGTTTTCTCGCGCTGTGTTTCTTGGCCCCGAGGAGGGCCGAGTTTGAAAAGACAGTATGTGACTATCCATCCGCGGGAGCTGTTTCTTGTGCGAACTCTTCCCATCTGCTCCGAAGACATGCTGTTGTCTCCCAAGTTCTCCTTATCCACCATCCACGTCCGCCTGACTGCCAAGGGGCTGCTGCGGAATCTGCGCCTGCCTTCGGGGTTTCGGAGAAGCACTGTGGTTTTCCACGCAGGTTTGTCTGGCACTGACTGCTCCGTGGTGACTGGTGCAGGGGGGGCACATGGATGGACGTGCAGACATCTGCAGACATTTCCTAATGAGATAGATGAGTGGGGAAAGGAAGCTCTTTCTAAGCGAGCACTAGCCTTAATTTGTAAAAAACAAAAAAAAAACACCCCAAAAAACAAAAAAGCGGTTTTCTGATGTTTCAACACAGGAGTATAAGGCGCTGTTACTGTTTGCAAGCAGATGTTTGCTCGGTTTGTTTATAGAAAATGGAATTGTTGCCTTGGAGCTCCCTAGCTTTTTTCTCGGATGCCAACCAAAGCTGTGAAAATCAACACCTGTCAACTGGCATTTTACTTCCAATCATTTTGGAAATAGGACGTGGGTATATCGAGAATAATATTTTTTTTTTTCCCTTGAAGCCATGGTCGGCTAACTGCGGCTCGCGAGCCACATGTGGCTCTTTGGCCCCTTGAGTGTGGCTCTTCCTAAGCCTTAGGAGTACCCTAATTAAGTTAATAACAATGTACCTACCTATATAGTTTAAGTTTAAAAAATTTGGCTCTCAAAAGAAATTTCAGTTGTTGTACTGTTGATATTTGGCTCTGTTGACTAATGAGTTTGCCGACCACTGCCTTAAAGGGTGAGATGAGATGAGAGGGTTTCTGTGGTTTTCATTATGTAATTTCTCACTGAGATTGTGATGTTTAGTAGACTACAAGATTTCCACATTCTAAATGTTTGTCTAAATTTGAACATCCCGATGGTTGAGGAGAGGCAGGTAACAAGTGAACCACAAATTAAGCCCTCCAAGGTTCATAGTGAAATGTTTGCAGCTACAGAAGACCGCCTCTGATGTGTATGCTGGTAGCTGCCTTTTATTTTCTGTGCCTAAGATAGAAATCAGTGCAGTGTGTATTTCAGGCATGTGGGAGCCTGTGTCACTCTGAGAGGATTCAGGAGCCTGACATCGGGGCCTCTTGTTCTAGAGGATAATCGCAGCTATGGTAAATGAAGTTGATTTTAGGCTGTAAAAACTAGAGGGCTGTACATTGGATTTGGGCTGGTTAGTGTTAACCGTAAGGGGATTGTTTGTTGGACGTAAATAGAAGCTATTTCCTTGTTTCATAAGCCGGCGGCCCTATGCGTCTTGTTTTTCCTCTCTGTCCCTAGAGATTTTATTCAGCAACGGTTTTTAGTTCTCCCTGAGGCATCTCCCTTCTCTGTGGGATAATTCTCATTTTTCCAGCACCTCTTCCTCATGTTTCATAACTCCCCTTGACCTGCCACCTGAGTCAGCTCGCCTTTCCCTCTCCATCTGGTCTGACAGCTAGAGGTACCCGAGGCAGGTTAGCAGGTAAACAGTGGCTGTGTTTCTCCCAGCCTAAATGTCCACTGTCGTATTTTCAACCTTAGAAAACAAAAAGGGTGCCCTGTATTTGTAATAATTTGTGTGATCTAAAGTAGCTCCAAAAGCTTCTAATTTTAACTTAAAAATAGAATCCATACTCCAAGTTAAAAGGAAAACCAAACAGTACAGAAGGTTGTTCAATCCCAAGGGAGCCTCCTTTTCACCTGGCCCTGCCCCCTTCCGCCAGCAGCCACTCTCAGGGGATGCCTTACAGCCCCTGGTAGTTTCTGATCATGTGGAAGCCTGGGTGGCCCTTTTACATCCTTGGTTATACTGAAATGGATGCATACTCTATACACTCTTCTGTAGCTTGCTTTTGAAAGTTAATATGTCTTAGATTTTCACATCAACGCATTTATTTATCTCACTCATTCTTCTTTTTTTTTTTTTATTTAAATCTTTATTGTTCAGGTTACATTTGTTCCTCTTCTGCTTCTCAGAACCCCCGGAACCGCTGCAAACCTCGGAGGGAAAGCTGCCTTCCAACTGATGCCAGACACTCCCGCTTCTCCCGTTTGGGTCCGAGTCCCCAGCGATTCGCCCGTATCTGGAGCTCAGAGTCTGAGACTCCCCCCTGACCGAAAACGACAACCGCGCTCTCAGCCACCAGCCCGCTTTGCGCGCGCACCTCCGCACCTGAGTTTTTTCCACACTGCGCCTCCTCTGAGCCTCGGTGTGCTGTTATTTTTCCTTCTAGTTGAAGAGTCTCTCCTCAGCCAGCCTTCCTGTGGTTCTGGGTGATGTCCGTTCCGTCTTTTAGTTGTATTTTTGAAGTGGTTGTTTGCGGCAGCAGTCTGCGGTGTTTACCTATGCCGCCATCTTGGTCTCTCCCCTCACTCATTCTTCTTAATGGTCACATGACATCCCATTGTTGGGCGAGCCGTGATTTATTTCATCAGTCTTCAGTTAGTGAACATTTTCGGCCGCGTGTGTATTTTTGTGAAGCAGTTAGCTTTCCAAGGCAGCTTAAGCAAAAGAGACCAGGCTTTGATCACCAGAGCTTAACTAATAGGGCTCTTTTCGTTACATTTTATTCTCGGAACTTATAGAAACCTATTTCGCAACCTCCATTTGATTGCAGTTTTCAGAGCTGGAGTGCACTGAGAGGGCATCTGGCTCGTCTTATTTGCCGCCAAGAAGTCTGAGGCCCAGAGGGGTGAACACAGCCTGTGGCAGAGATGGGACTAAAACCCAGGGCCTCTGTTTAGAATTTCTGGATTATAGATTTTCCTGGCTGTGAATTTTGCTCTAATTCTGTTAGACCCAGCAGATAGTAGTGATGGAAAAAAGAGTTTTGTGCGTGGAGAGGATTTTAAAATTATGTCAAGGATTTAATTCTACTCACCCCCGGTAAGAATCTTTTGTGAGCTTTATCCGTATGATACACCTTTAAGGACAGAGAAGTCTCCCAGTAGAATGGATGACGAAGACCTTGTGTCTTTTCTTCTCCGTGTGGCTGCAGGCAGTAGCGGTGTCTGTATTCTTACTAGGGGAAGTTGTGTTGGTTGCCCTAGTGGCAGTGGTGGTGACCAGGTTTCCAGGAGCCCGGGGTTTGTTGCCTTGGTTTTGCTGGTCATCATGTCAGAGACCCTGATCACATACCAGTAACCATACAGGCTACAACAGAAAGGAATCTGATGAGATGATTTCCGAAATCCCTTTAACCTGAAATTCCGAGGATTTTCTGGCTATAGGTTTAAAACTCTCTGGATGTATTACTGACACCTGAAAATTCATCGTATCGAAACGAATTCTCTCCTTCTCTCTCAAACTCAGTTAATATGCCTGATTTATTCATTTCTTTTTGTGACACCATGTTGTTCCCTTGTCCTGTCATTAAACCTGTCACCTTGGAATCCTTGCTCTTGGTCATTTGGCCGTAACTAACTGGTTGCAAAAATCTAAGACTCTGTCGTAGGAAATCTCTATTTGTTTTTATCCTCTGCCACTCCTCTAGCTCAGGCTTTGCTATTAGGCTGGAGCATTGGAAATTGCTCTTTTTACAAGTGAAAAATGTGGACAGTTTCATATCACCTAACCCCGTGGTCGGCAAACCACGGCTCGCGAGCCACATACGGCTTTTTGGCCCCTTGAGTGTGGCTCTTCCACAAAATAACACGTGCGGGCGCACGTACAGTGCGATTGAAACTTCGTGGCCCATGCGCAGAAGTCGGTTTTCGGCCTGGGCGAGTCTATTTTGAAGAAGTACTGTTGATATTTGGCTCTGTTGACTAATGAGTTTGCTGACCACTGCCCTAACCTAATACTTGAGGCTATTTGAAGGTTTTTATATTTTTGGTTTTGGGCACCAGCCTTTCCCTGTTTCTAAACCTTTCACATTGTAGGATCCATTCATTCATTCATTTCATAAATAAATACTTATTAGACATGTATATGTGTCAGGTACAATGCTAGATGCTGCAGATAGAGCCAGGACTGCGTCACACATGGCCCCTGTCTCCACACAGCCCACAATTTAATGGAGGAAGACAGACGTAGAACATCAAGTAGTCATGGCACGGGGCATGGGTGAGGCGCCCGTGGGTGAGGGTGTCTTTATCCAGGTGGTCCAGACTGTGGGCATAGACTGTGGAGAGAGAGGTGCCAGCGGTAAGGATGGTGCTCAGAGGGACCCAGCGGGATCAGGCTCTGTCACCGAACCCTCACATGGCATTGTGTGCCGGGCGTGTCCGTGTATCGTTACTGTGTGGCACCGTCGACAAGAGTGTGTTGTTGGAGCCAGCATGTAATTTCCTCTGTGAACAGGGGCCAAGAAAGAGAGAGAGAATTTCTCGGAGTTCTGAGTGACGTCAGGGCGCCGGGCATGGCTGAAGGTGTCAGCGGGAGGTAAAGGCTGGCATCGCCTGAGGCCCAGGAGTGGCTTCACTGACCACCCGAGTGCTGGCCATGGTCTCCTGCCAAAGTGCTCGGCTCAGTCTGTTTCAGAATCTTGCCTGAAGGTATCAGTTCAAATTTTATAATGAGTCAGTGAAGGGGAACAAATCTTCTAAGGAGAAATAGTTCTTGCCACCAGTTGGATTAGAATTCAGGCTTTCTGTGAAGCTGGAGAGAGCGATATTAATTATTCTGAAAAGTGCCATTTTGAGGAAATGCTCTCATTGATTCAAGTGAAGTTACTTGCACTGAAAAATAGAGTTGGTTTTGCTGAGCTAGTGACCTTAAAAGCACATCGATAGCCCAGCCGGCGTGGCTTAGTGTCAACTTATGAACCAGGAGGTCACGGTTCGATTCCCAGTCAGGGCATATGCCCAGGTTGTGGGATTGATCCCCAGTAGGGGGTGTGCAGGAGACAGCCAATTAATGATTCTCTCTCATCATTGGTGTTTCTCTCTCTTCCTCTCCCTTATTTGAAA